TAAGATTTTTATATTTTTTGAACCAAAGTTTTATCGGCCCAACGTACTTCTCTTACACGTGAGTGAAACGGTAGTGCAGTGTATTCTCCACCGAAATGGCCATATGAGTTCATAGCATCCACATGACGAATACTTAGTGTAGAAGCATTTTTAAATGATAGCTGACTTTTGTGGAATATCATTAGTTATTACATCTTGTTCCTCCTCCCTACCGTTCTATTTGGAGGAACTCCATCCATACTTGTGGGGCCAAAACTGCTTAAAAACCAGGAAGTTGACTTTCTAGACCCAGACGTGAATCTGTTGATCGGATTCAGCTGCTATGTTTCATTAAATAAGAAGATAACGTACAGTAGGTTTTCTATGAGTCGCCACAAATTTCAAAAGGTCTCTGTTGACCAATAGGAGGACTCAGAGCAAGCAAACTGTAACGGTCTATAGTTTTGTAGGATGTAGACCAGGCGTTGTGTTGATGACATGATTGCGTAGAACTACAGGGTAACCAATCATATGTCGTTTGTCATATTTCAGTAGACGTTGTGAGTCAAATTTCTTCTCGATAAAGTTTGATCATTACACCCGCTGTTTAAATGTACTGTTTGGTAAACAATTGGTTAGCCCCAGTCGTGTCCGAGTTCTCGCGAGGGCTCACGAGGAGTTACGAGACTTTTAAACAATCATTGGCCAGATAACCCTTCTCAAGAGCAGGTTTTTAAGTCTCGCTGTTTCTTTTTTTTTAATTTGGACGATATTAGCGCTAAGTAACCATGGTAACTAAAAGAATGTACAAACGACAGAAACGCCAGTATGTGTGAATGTAGGATGACGTTTTAGTTTGCTATGGTACATCATGCAGTTGAATTCAGTTATATCAACATTTATCTAGCTTTTGTGGCCATACATGTATTCCATTATCAACCACCTGTTCATAAGACTTAAAAGCGAGCGTTTATTTTATGATATCTTGACGCGTTATACAATTTGTACTTTTATAGGCTGATAGGATGTACCCGTGTTTTTTTGTAAATTATTTGGCTCAAGATTGATGTTGTATAAAGGTGCTTTTTGAAGAGTAAATATTCTCTACTACAGCTGATTACGTAGCGTAGATGTAACTGCAGAGTAGCTTGTTGTTATTATATTATAACACCAATCTTCCTCTGCTGTACCGCCGAACAATTGTTAAACAATGTCCGCTGTATGTATAGGGATATCGGAAAGCTTATGAAATTTATAGTTTATTCATAGAGTAGGAACGGAAGCAGCTATATTCAGTTCTTTTATCGTTTTTTTTCTTTTGTTAAGTTTTGAATATCTCTACGTGCATCAACCACTGTGCCTTTGTGTTATGAAGTGAACAACCTTTGAGGTTTTATGGTTAAACTAGCGTTATGTATAGTATAGTTTCTCAAGAGTTATTCTGCACCTGTTGCATTGGTTAATTTCACTTGCATCTGTGTTCCTAGAACTTAAAACTGTTTCTCTACCCAAGGAGGCTTGATATGTCTTTATTAAAACTCCTTGCTTTATCACATAGCATGACAGATTTTAAAAGTACCTTTTCCGCGATTATAAGATTTTGTGGCAGATTGTTAAATTTGCAGCAATGTGTGTACATATGTGAGGTAATTATTGGGCAATAGTAGGTTTACGATTGTTGTCTAGGAGAGCCTTTCTTTAAAAAAACATGGTTATTGCGTGTATTTTTGTACTCCATGATTGTTGTCATCTAATTGTGAAATATCGATAGCGTTGTTTTCGTGTTTATCTCGACACTGTGTCAAAGATTTCATCTCTATTTCTACATGGAGCGTTTGGACAAGCCTTTTTAAAAGTTGCACGTTTGTCTGAAATGAACGTTGACTGGGTTTACCCTTTGACACAGTCTCGCGAATTCTCACGAGAACACGTCACGTGACATATACTGTAAATGGATGATAATACCTTCTTTGGCTGTCTCCGCCGTCCATTCCATGGTGTCCTTTCGTGTACGGAACATGCTGTGCCATGTCTTTGATACTATCACCAACTGCTGTAGATTGACGACGTAATTTTCTACCTTGTGCGGCTCAAATAAAGGAAGTTTTCTTGTACTACTGTTCGCATTCTTTGCTGCTGTGTTTCACTAGTTTATTTTATAAGGTATGCTGAGAACTGGACGAATCCATGATAGAATGTATGCTGGAAAAAATATTCGAAATTGGCCAACTAGATTCAATAGTTAATCAGAATTAGGGGTGTTACTTGATAGCCTCCTGTGCAGGCTCCGGGGCGGGTGGGAATTTTTGATACAGCGGTTTGAAGAGTTTTTACACGGGCGGAATGGAACCTTCTCTCGGTAGCTGGTTGTAGGATGGCCGGCAATTAAAATAACGCGTTAAAAACTCTTCAAAACGCTGTATCAAACTTCCCACATGCACAGGAGGCCAGTTACTTGACCCATTTTCAATCAACGGAATCGGTTGAATGAACGGACCCCCGTATCAGTTTTTGATTGTGGCAAGGACATTATACCCACTTGAATAAGAAAGAAGGAAAACTAGACAGGAGAAATGACTTTTAACTTTTTTCCATACCAGGTACTGTATCTCATTTTTGGCCAATTTATAACGTTACCTTTACAGTACTTTGTAGGTAAGCCGCTGTGGGGCGCTTGTAATCTATACCTTTGTCAATAGATGTAACCTCCTTCATGTCACTAATACTGTAATATATAAGATCATTGACCTGAAAAGCTTTGCTTGAAGCGTGGTTTTGTTGATTTCCTATCCTGTGTGATTTCCGGCAAAACGAAAAAAATATTATGGATTAGGATATTTGTCTGGCATAAACATTCACTGCCATTTCATAACACATGTACATACTCGTCGTGATGCGTTTGAAATAGTCCCAAAACCACCTACATGAGGAGTGTCTTTATTATTTGGGTACCACCCATAAATAGCTAGAACGAGCCTACGATACAGAACAATTTTTTTCCCTCAGCAACATTGCTATTTTGCCCACAGATACCAAATTTGACGCCCGAACATAACGCGTTGCCAGACTTCCTGCATTTACCATGACGCGTTTCCGATCCTCCTACATTTGTAAAGCGTTGCCAGGATCACCCCATGCAGACCCACTATCCTAAGTAGCTTGGAGGGTCAAAGGGGTCATCAGTCGTTACTCCAAACCATATAGAGAATTCTGTATAAAGTCACTGGTTATTCATAAAAGAAACGCTATATTTTCATCTTCTTGGAACGTTAACCTCAAGAATTATCTCTTTATTAGTCAGGTCCGGACATCTTCTAGTGGCGTAAGGCCAAAGGAAAATGTTTTTGAGGTGCATCCAATGTGATTTCAGGACAGCAAAACTAGAAATATTCTGAATAAGGCAATTGTTGTGATATTGACACACACTACTTCACATTAGCACATATAAATTAGCATTTCATACTTTTGGCATTTAAACTACAGAAAGAAGCCCTAAGATGAGACCTTTTTTTCTGGGTGGTACCCTAAAAATCAGCCCAGGACCCTTCCAGTAACGATTTTCTGTCAGAATGTGGGGGATTTTTGTTCCATGAGGGTCAATATACATTGGGATAGTGTGATTTCAACTCAGTATGTAGATAAATGACTAGAATATTGACTTTGAAAAATTAGGTTTCCAAGCCCTAAAAACTGCACTGGATGCGCCTTTAAGGGGATATAACTGTGTTATAAGAGAAAAACACGTCAAAAATATAACACCTCGGCCAGAAATGCCCTCAGCTGTCGCTAGTTTTTCTCACCGCCAACATAACCAGCAGTGGAGGCGAAAACATCAGCCAAACTGTATAGTATTCCAACATGTCAACACTCCGTCCATTTAAACGGACGCGTCGTATACCGTGTGTTTAAGGTTAGGTTACATTGGACAATTGGTCTGAACACTTCAAACTCTACGTGACCTCCTTTTTGCCATTGTTTCCTTGCCGCTGTATGCTTCTCGATAGCCTGGTTACCAAACCTGTTATAGCTTCCTAGTCCTAGTTACATCCTCTCCGCAAATTTGCAAAGAGGATGTAGGGGACTCGGGAAATATTTGCGGAGACGATGTTTTGGTAACCAGGCTAGCTTCTCGCCAAGCAGAGGTTGGTGGGGAAAACTGTGACCTTGCTATCCATACAATCACTACTAAGCGAGATGAAGCCGAAAAGAATAGAAATTAGAAATTTATTTACACTCTTATATGTTTATATGTATGTAATGTATATATGTTTATGTTCATGTTCTGTACCCACGCGACCTGTACTTAGTTCTGTAGAACACAAATGTACAATAAAGGTCTTCATTCATCATATGCCCCTTTTTTCAGTCACTTCCCCAACCAAACCCGCAAAACACGGGGCAACCTCTGCTTGCAGGGTAGTTGTGTATGCTAGGAGAAGCCGGGTGGAAAGGTAATGCAGCTGCGTGTGACGTCAGCCGCCCCGGGACCCAGTCAGCTGATTGAAAAGGCGACATAATAGCTAGACCGGTTCGCACCGGTTTGTGTGGACGGCTCAGTATTTATACCCAGCGGTGCCGGGTATGTTTTGAGCCTGAAGCCGCTCGGCACATCGCCGCTTAGCGCTGACGTGCAGCCTAGCCCGGCTCGCGGCCTCGATAAAAAATGGAGTACGACGCCGCGCTGGAGCACCTCGGCCGCTGCGGCCGCTTCCAAAAAATCACCGCCATCGCTATGTCTCTAGTCGGCATCCCGGCCGGCTTTAACATGGTCGCGATGACTTTCCTGGGAGCCATGACCGACCATCGCTGCCGCCTGCACGAAAACAGCCGGGCGGGCTATGCAGGGAATGCCACCGAAGGACTTAACGCTAGCATACCCTGGGAGAATGTCGGGGGCACCTTGAGACTGAGCCAATGCAATATGTACGTGGATTTAGGAGCTGAAGCCGGGGAGAACGCCACCATAGCGCCTTGCGAGTATGGATGGGTGTACGACCGCAGCCAGTATAGCAGCAGCATCGTTACGGAGGTAACGTTACAGTATTTCCATAATCCTGACAAAGGGAGTCTGGCAAAACAGAAAACAGACAGCGTCTGGCTTGGCAGGTTGAAAATGCAACGTGAGGTCCATACTGAATAGATAGGTAGCATGAAAAAAGGGATATGATCTGTGTGTGGTTTTTGCGAGCTAAAAAATATAGATTTAACGCTTGGTGTCAGGTTTCTTTCACTTGGGCAGACCGCTCTATAATTTGTTCGCCGCCTCTAGGCCACAGCAAGTAATTTTTATGGATGACATCCGCGCGCATAATTGACTTTCGCCTGATTTTGGAAAAAAAAAAAAAACAAGAAATTTTGTTGCCTTTTGACGGTGGTCAACATTCCGAAAATGGACAAAATGGCATGCCTTGCCATGCTGGAACGTGTATGGCAGATAAACATGAAGAGAGGAGACAAGACAAGGCTCTGATTTATTTTTTTACTTTTACTTTGATGCAAAGATGTATTTTGTTCCTTTTATACGTTCCCACGGAATCAAAACCATTTGTACAATGATTGAAATCTTTCCCTTTTTTGTTGTTTTAGTGACAAATTGGTGTTCTGATAGTTGGCAGTAAAGTTAGCACCATATAGGTATCATTTCTTGTTTAATAGGATTTATGATGTCAAAATTTCAAAATATAGAAATCTTGTTTTTTTGGGCCCGCCTTGTTTTTTTTTTCGCCCTCTAGCATTAGATTTGGACTCTGCGGAGGATGTCATCCATGAAATTTACTTACTGTGGCCCTATCTATGCACCGTGCTCTATGCGAAGTCCGATTTAGCCGTGGCAACTCGGTAATGCTTTTTGTATGGTAATAGCTGCATACAGTATACAGTATTATCATACAAAAAGGATTACAGTCATTTACCGAGTCCGATTCCGACTGATCGGTGTAAATGTGGTAAAACCAAGAAGCTTTCATCACATTTGTAGAATGTCCTTGGTAAAACACAATGGGCAAGATAATAAAACACGACAATTGATGGTAAAACGTAGCTATAACTGCGAAGGTTTCTTAAATTATTCATACAGTGTGCTTTGAACGCTGCTCAACCAAAAGTGTTTTACGAGTAACATTAAAATGTTATAGTTCGTTCTGGGCAGTGCGCCATGTTTTTTTCACGCTGACAAATGCCACCGGAAAGGATCCGGACAGGCTGTCTGCGGCTGCTAGCTACTTTTCATGAAAACAACTGCAACCTCGGCCATTATATAGTATTACAGCAGAATTGGGGAAAAATTGTTCTGATTATAGGGTTTCCGTTACAGTTTCTTTGTTCTCCACTTGCCATCGATAATGGCGTAACCACTGGTTAATCAACGGGATATAAACGGCTCTGAATACTAGCATCAGTTGCGGTCGTTGGCATGCTGCCACATGTTAAAAGATCACTGTAATAATGCAATTTAATTCCCTGGCATGCTATCTGTCTTTTGGCCAATTTCTCCTAGCTCTTTCCAGCCGCTTCCGAAGCCTGGTATGTAGAGGCTAGCTGATCAGGGCCGGACATACATCCGCTTTGAGATCAAACATGCACCGTGTTCCTAGAATCCCCTTCGGAGGCCCTTACACATGCACAGCTAAGCACATACATCACGGGGTGGATAAAGCCTTTGTAGATTGAGCAGCAGTACTAGTGCTAGTGCTTGAGGGCCATTGACCTACTTGCTACAGGTTGCAAGAACTAGCTGAAAAAGCGCAGAAATTGTCAACGAGGATTTTTTTGCATTTTATTCATGCTTGATTTACACAAAAATATGTGCAAATTCCTCTAACTGTTTTTCTCTTCTCTCCAAGCAGAGGTTTGGTTTAAAATTCCAGTGCAAAACAAGTAAACACCGATAAAAAAGCCTAAAAACAAGCCAAAAATAACTCAAAATCCTTGCAAAACCACAACCTCCGCTCGGAGAGTAGATTTTCCCTTGCCTCTACCAGGCACCGCGGATAGCTGGAAAAATAGTACAAATTGGCCGAAATAAAGGAATAATATACCAGGGGAGATAGCCGGCCAAAGAAGATCTTCTCTGGCCGGTTACCTCCCCTGGTATATTATTCTACTATTTTTCCAGCGATCCGCGGTGCCTGGTAGAGGCTAGATTTTCCCTGCATGTCAGATATTTTCGAAACGGAAGATCAGTCATGGAAGCGTCAGAGTGTCTGCAATTATCCGTCACGATCGAGGCAAATTGTAATAAAATTACTGGTGCGAATCGATATTTTAGATGCATATCCTCGCATAATTGAGCTGAGAAACTTTTGCACCTGCTCACTTTCAATATAGTTTTACCGTATTTCAATCAGGGAAAAATAAAAGAAAGTCCCATTCGCTGAGATTGTTGCAGTTTTGTGTACAAATAAACAGAAGCAGCTTGAGGTGATGGATCCCACTTCTCCTAGTACAAGTCTCTAGTGCCCTGCACATAGCCCGCTTGCAAAACGGAAAATCTACTAGTAAGAAGACGCGTCTGCAGATACAGTTGAGGTGGCAGTATAAACAGTACCTACTAGTGAAGGCGCGGTCACATTTCCCAATCCGGGGCCCGGTCGGGCAGTCGTATGGAACGAAAATTATGATATAAGACAGCAAAACACAAACAAGTTTTTAAAAATTAACCATGAGCACTATTTGTGTATACTCTTAATACAAATTGTTTATTTTTAGTTCACGCAAACAACCCGGCCGGCTTGGAAATGTGGCCGTGCCCTAAGTTAGAACGTGGGGATGAATATCTTTTCTCACGGAACATTAATTCCTACACCCTGGAATGTAGAAGAATTCCACGGTTCTTAACGCGGGAGGTCACAGAATCGATAACTGGAGGTCGTTTGAACGTTTCTGACTTGATTTAGTCAGGACTAAATTGGGAGGAACTGCGTTAACTTTCGGCAGGGCGCCATTCAGACGGCAGAACCGAAGCAAAAATGATTTAGTGACTCCTCATTGTCTCATGAGAGAGCCCTCTGGTTATAGGTGATTTATTATCTGCCACTGATGTTTCAAGATGGCGATTTTGCTACTCTGAAATTGCATTGGATGGCTTTTTTCCTGATATTTGAAGATATTCATCATTGGCAAATCAAAGATTTGGTGCACTTTTAATAATAATAATAATAATAATAATAATAATAATAATAATAATAATAATAATAATAATAATAATAATAATAATAATAATAATAATAATAATAATAATAATAATAATAATAATAATAATAATAATAATAATAATAATAATAATAATAATAATAATACGTCGAAGAAGGTTAGACATCCAGGTAATAAGATATGCCAAAAAGCAGGTACTCAAGCAACTGGATATGATTTGGGAAATCATAACCAGTTGCTTGAGTAACTGCTTTTTGGCGGATAATAATAATAATAGTTCTATACAGTATTGCATCAGTGCCTCTGTTCTCGTGTCTCCTGCTCCCACCCATACGTTACACATGGACAGGTAACTACTGTAGCTTATCAGAAGAATGCTGTGTTGTTTTGGTTCCGTGACACATCTGTCTCAAACAGGATCTGTAAACAATAATATACTGCTGGGCGTCACAAGGGTTATAATTGTATTCTAAGCAAATCTGGATATGGATTCATGACAATTTCTGGCCAGGAGCGCCGTGACGTCATCTTAAATTTAGAACCCCCAAAATAGACGAAGCGTTCTAGTGCTCTGATTAAACTAATTTAAAGGGGAGGGGCAAAAAATTTAACATCAAAATTTCTCCCTGAAAATTTATATGCCGCCAGGTATCCCAGGTGCAACGCAATTGCGATAGCGTGTCCGCGGTTGTGCTTATAATTCTTCTTTTGTTCAGCTGAAATGAATTATTGGTGTCATATTGATGTGGCTTTGTTGTGTATGTTTGATCCTATTTCTGTCGCACTTGCTACACGCACTGACACGGGGGTTAGTTAAAGGCATCCAATGCAAAATCAGAAAGAGGATATATGTATGCATGATAGTGAAATTTACTGCCATTTCTTGACACACTCTCGTCATTATTCCCTACTTGAAGCGTTTGAAATAGCTCCAAAATAAGCCACGAGTCCTTTTGTTATTTTTGTTACCACCAATAAACAGCTAGAACCAGCCTACGATACGAAATAGGCAACCGTTTTCCGTCAGCGACATCACATTTTTGCCTCACATATCAGTATGCTGCGGTATAGGGTTGATTATAGCTTGTACCAGGCTTGGGGATGCAGCTGGAAAGAGTAGTAATCGGCCAAATAGAGAGATAAGCATGCCAAGGGAGTTTGTCCGTTGAGAGAACATTTCGCCGCACTCCCTTGACATGCTTATCTCTCTATTTGGCCGATTTCTACTCTTTCCAGCCGCCTCCCCAAGCCTGGTAGAGGCTAGGTTCACTTGATTAACTTACTACATAAAAAATACCGGACAATTGACCTAGAAAAATTGCCTTAAATTTGATTTCGGTGTCTTTTAAGTCCGTATGCCAAGTTGTCTAGTAGGTACGATGGATACTGAATGGGAAATTGTATCCTGTGTTTATTTCCAGTTTGACCTGGTGTGTAACAAGGCGTGGCTGACGGAGCTGGCACAGTCCATCTACATGTCCGGGGTGTGTGTGGGCGCCGTGCTGTTTGGAGCCATGGCTGACAGGTCAGATAGCTGTCCGTCTGTGTGTGTTTACCTTCTGGGGAAAAGATATCCTTTCGCGGGAAGGTATTTTTTGGTCGTGTTTGTGTGTTCGCAGCTATAACTCTCGCAAATTTCTTTGATTTTCGCTAAATGATTAGTTATTGGGTTCCAGATGATTTTTTTTGTATCTGCAGTTTCGGCCATTGGAATAAAATAATTTCACACCCCTGTGCTTTATGTGGTGTAGTATCGTCGAAGAACAGTCGTTGTCCACTGCGGAACTAATGAGTGAATGAATGAATGAATGAATGAATGAATGAATGAATGAATGAATGAATGAATGAATGAATGAATGAATGAAGACCTTGTTTGCACATTTCTGCCACATTTGGCTAAGTACAGGTCACAACAAAACAAGATGAATGGACACGATTTAACAGATACAAATGTAACAAACTATCGTTACATAAATTCAACTTCTCCTTGCTCATCAGTTATTGTAGAAATAAAGGTACAGAACTGTTTTTCGATGGGTAGCCTCCTTCGCAGACTTGTTGGAGCGGCGCCGTTTAATTGTGGTGTGGTGGTGTGGGTTTAATACGCAATTTTTACTCGGGCTAAAGGGTTTCTAACGCGGTAGCCGTATTAGATACTCCCTCAGCCGTATTAGATACTCTTTAGCCTGTGTAAAAACTCGCCGCTCCAAGAAGTCTGCGAAGGAGGCTATATACTTCAGTGCTCCTGTGCGAACGTTGGGAAGCCAAGGATAAAATTTTAAATCTTAACGGTAAAACCCCGATAGGTACGGGCGGCGTCCTATCCTGCTGTTATGCCTGATGGTCCAGATCCCGCTCATGTTCGCCGTCGCCTTCGCCACGGATTACGTCACCTTCGTCACTCTTCGGTTCATCATCGGGGCGACGATGAACGGCTTTCTCTACTCGGGCATCGTTATCGGTGAGTCAAAAGTTCTGATGCGCTGTTTTGCGGAAACCCTACTTTTGCGGAATATGCTTGTCTTTAATCATGCTGTTTTGGTTAGGCCATGTTGATATCAATTATATGGATGACATCCTCTTGGAACCCCAAATATGATGCGAGCGTGCGAATAAAAATGTTTGACAAAAAAGTTTGACTTCATTATGAAATGTACGTTGTCATGAAGGTTGAACAAATGACTTAACACACATGGTATGGTATGGCGAATGATGGGCTCTTAATTTTCATTTATAGAATTTCTAGTATCATCTTCCATGATGATGATGATCATCACCATCTTCCAATATTTTTTGCAATTTACTGCATATATTTGTTAATTTTGTAGCCTATAATTAAGCTGGAGAGCTTGCCCAAACGTTAACCACGATAAACTGGAAGCCAGGCTTAAGTATGCTTTGCCATACCACTTAAAAGATTTTAAAAAATTAACTCGTTGAACGCTAACGTCTTCTGTATGTCTCTTTGGTGCCCAGGTACGGAGGTGGTCCACACGTCCATGCGCACCCTGTTCGGCATGTCCGTACCCTTCACCATGGTGATCAGCTACATCCTGCTCGGTGTGCTGGCCTACTTTTTCCGCGACTGGCGGACCCTGCAGCTCGCCATGTCCATCCCGCTCGTCCTCTTCGTGTCCTACTGGTGGTAAAGACATCCTTTTCAAGTTGTCATATTGAGCTTGCATTTAATCCAGAAGAGATTTAAAAGCAGGCAATAAGGCAATAGAAGTAAAATAGCACTTGCCTTTTATCACCGTTTATGAGTTTAAAATGTGTAAATATGCCCAGGGTTTTGTCCTTGTGACAAGAAAGGAGAAGGAAATAATATTGTAGTCTCTATGGACCAGACTTCTTTTGCAGGCTGAATAAATCGTAGAAATCTGCCTAAAAAGGGTAGGTAGCTGGCCATCGACGATCAAATTGGCCGGCTACCTTCTCTCGCCAATTGATACCCTTTTTAGGCAGATTTCTACGATTTATTCAGCCTGCAAAAGAAGTCTCGTGGAGACTAAGAATTTTGCACGGCAGAACATATCGTGAATATGACCCTAAGATACACAAGTGACCTCTGACCCCTCAGAGCCACATGCAAAAGTTTGGAGTCAATCTTTCGGTGCAAATTAGATATCCCAGATTTCCAACACAAAATAAAACAGTAAATCTGGATCAATTGAAACCCTGGTAGTCTGAGATTTAAAAAGAAAAGAACGCCAGATTTAAGAAGAAAAGAAAAGAACCTTGTTGTTGTCCGCAGGTTGGCGCCCGAGTCTCCCCGCTGGCTACTGACCAATCGCAAGTCAGAGGAGGCGAAGGCTGTCATCAGGAAGGCGGCAAAACAAAATGGCGTCGACATCCCGGAGAAAATCTACGAACTCATCGACGAAGCCGGGGGAAAGGTAATACAGTTAAACACTGCATATCTACGTACAAGTGTTGGAACTTGGCATGTTGTTTCATGCATTGTGTGCTGTCTTTGAAAAAACACAACTCCCAACTCCTCTTTCACTTAAGGAGGATTCGTTAACGAATCCCGGGAAAGGATTAGAGAGGAATAGAGTGGGTTTGATGGTCTGCAAGGGACGGCGCAAACAGGAAGAGGAAGTGACGTAAGGATAACCGGCAGGTAAGAACAACAAACAAAAACAACAACAATGCTTTTGCCAATTGTAAACATTGACATACAGTTGGCCTGTATTTCTGCACCACGGAGGACGCCTGACTTGCAAAATGTGTTTCTGTCTTATTGAATCTTTAGGGTTCAGATCCGCATGACTGTGGACCAAGGACCTACACCATGCTGGACCTGCTTCGCACGCCCAAACTGAGGGCCACAACCATACTGATATCCACAAACTGGTGAGCTTTCCTTCCAGACCTCTGTACATACTACTCTTGGAAGCTATCCTCGCTATGTCTGATGTATTACTGCCAACGTTTGTAGTAGTGTTCTCAACGTTGCAATTTCTCTGTTATTTCATCAAACACTCCATGTCATGAGTATATCATGAGATCTTTTGTAACCATTCAAACAGGATTTGGCTTATTTTTTTACGTGATTCAGGCGTTTTATAGGGCTTTTGTTTTCAACGTTATTAGTTTTTTCCTTTAATTCATTTATTATATTGATCTCATACCTTTCATTTCGTGATTAACTTGGGAAGGAGGAGGGCCTAATCTACATGCCCTGAAGGCTTTCTGCCTCCTCCTGCACATTAGCTTATTTTAAGAATTTTGTTTACCTTTTTAATTTATTTTTGATAACTGTGCGAATAAAATACAAACAAAAAATACAACTGTACTGGTATCTTTTTTCCGCCAGCCTTCGGGTGGCAAATGGATACTGTCTTGGCCAATTCGATACTGTCTTGCAGCTACCATAAGACCTGCTTGGAAACTAACTTTTTGTTTTGAAAATTGATCCTGAGATCGAACGCTGCTTGTTTCCGCACAGGTTCGTCCTCTCTGCAGTCTACTATGGTCTATGCGTGGGAACCGCAGCTTTGGCGGGGGACCACTACGTCAACTTCATCACCAGCGCATGCGTGGAACTAGTGGGCGTGTTTGTGGCGTGGTTCACTATGGAGCGGTGCGGGAGGAAGCTGCCCTCCGTGGTCTTCATGCTGCTAGGCGGCTGCGCATGCGCCGCAACTGCTGCTGTACCGCATAGTAAGTACTGAATTTTTTTTTAAATATAGAAATAGGAAACATCACCAGAAGGGTGTTTGCAATACATGTGGTAAGATCATCCTACGTTCACAGCAAAGGACGTCAATAAAGTATGATAACATAGTGATTATGTCAGGAAAATGTTTTTAAAAGTCATCTACTTAAGTTTTTGACATTGAAAAAAACACAAATTAACAGGGTAATTCAATGTCAAAGGTGTCAATTTAGTCCATAACGAGAACATTTTATACAGCAGAACATATCGTGAATATCACTCTGATATACACAAGTGGCCTCTGACCCCTCTTGACCACATGTAAACCTTTTTTTATCGAACCGGACAACCCAAATGTGGCTGAAGTCCTTTTTCAATAAAGTAAACATACTAAATCCCTTACCTATAACATTGAGCTAAAATCATTTCTAAAAATACGGATTATTGGCCTTTGCCCTGTATGGATCAACGTAAGACCCATATCTGAATGTTCGTTTAACCTGTCCAGCGCACGAGATGATCTCTACCGTGCTGGCCATGGTGGGGAGGTTCGGCATCAGCGTCAGCTTCAACGTGTTCTACGTGTACTCTGCAGAGGTCTTCCCTACTGTCGTAAGGTACGTCTTCAGAATTCGAAGTTCTATATGTCTGCAGAAGTCTTCCCCATTGTCGTAAAGTATGTCTTCTATGTCTGCACTGTCGTAACTTGTAAGGTATGTCTTCTATGTCTGCAGAGATCTTCCCTTTGTCGTAAGGCACGTCTTCTATATGCTTGCAGACGTCTCCCCTCTGTCGTAAGGTGCTGGTACGCTTCATATGTTTGTAGAATTTTTCAGCCTGTCGTAAGATACGTCTTCTATGTCTGCAGAAGTCTTCCCTCTGTTGTAAGGCCGTCGTCTCTCTTCTACATCGGGTGATGTCTTCCCCATATATTATATGATAAACAATGTATGTATTCCATGCGCATGGGTACCTGCACTGATTTTCCCATAACCGAACGTTTGTTACGTTTCTCTCCGTTAGAAACATGGGTCTGGGCGTGGCCACCATGTTGGCGCGGGTGGGCGGCATCATCGCGCCGTTCGTGTACCTGCTGGCGGACACCTGGCGGCCCCTCCCCCTGCTCACCTTCGGCCTCGTCTCCATCTTCTCCGGCCTCACCATGCTCTCCATGCCGGAAACGCTCGGCAAGCCGCTACCGAACACCATCGCCTCGGTGGAAAACGTCAGGTAGGGAATATGTTTCATCATCAGTGCTTTGTCAATTCAGAGTTATCAACCAAGAATTGATGTGTTCAAAAACTCGTAGTTTCCAAGAACTACCGTAGAGTGGAACTCGTTCCAGGCCACCAAGCACATCATCACTAGAAAGCTTTTAGAAACAATTCCTGCAATTAAAGGTGCAAAGATTGGTGGTTCGGTGTGATATAGCCAGCTGCCGCCGCGCCGCGTGCCTGCGAAGCTGGTGTGTTACACCGAAGGGCGGTTATACCGACAATACCGATACAGATACGAGATATTCTTTTCCTTGGTTTTCTTCGTCGTATTTATGATTAGAATCGAATAATAGAATAGTCGTAGAGAAGACGGATTCGCTTTTCTTCCTACCACGAAAAACAGAAGTGTATATTTATCTTTACATGTGTTTTTTTTTCAGCAAACCCCCTCCGCCCATACTGGTACCGGACGGAGTGGTGCTCCCGGGCGACACAGACAAACCGCTTATCATCTTCCAGAAACTGACGGTGCTGTAAGGGGACACAAACACCCCCATTACAAAAGCCCCCCACGTCACACATTCAGAACCTTCTCCCGACCACCAACCAACCAACCAAGGTTGGCTGAAGTTCGGGTTCAGTCTGATCAGATTTAGGCCACGCCTACCTTTCTGTTCGAATCGAATAGAACTTATTTGAGGTAAATCTGAGTCAGATTTGACCCCCCCTCCCGAACACTGCTGACCTATTCCCGATGACCAGCCAACTATGGTCGAACCTCCCGTTAACACCCGAATAGAGCCCAACCACAGCCGACCTTGTTCCCGACCTACATCCTATAACTGAGTTCAGCAGTGTTAGGGAAGCCATATTTGACTATATGTGACAGGAACTTATGCTGAGGTCACATTTCCAGACCGGGGCCCGGCTGGGCTGTTTCGATTAACGAAAAATCAATAATCCATACCAATAATATACACAAATAGTTCCCATGACATATATTTTCAACTTTTGTGCTTTGTTGTCTTTAATATCATGCTTTTCGTTCCATCAAACTGCCCGACCGGGCCCCGGTTTGAAAATGTGACCCCAGCACTATTAAAGGGGGGAAGAGGTACAGAGTATAATAAGCTGCAGACCCAAAGGGTTCTGCCATGAAGATATGACATACTGATTCATTACGAAAATGTACAGTCCCACCAGTGAAGTGTACTGTGAAACAGCCCTATAGAACTTCAGTGAAACATGGTAAAAATTCGCCTGCTTTTGCAAGCTTCATTAGTAGACCTCCTAGTGTCTACCTTGTTTGTTGATCTACTTAAGTTCAAATGTGTTCAATGTACAATTTACTTAACAGATGAGTTAAAAAGTGCCATATTGTTCGATGATTTTAGAAAATTATCTTGTCTGGTCGATCGTGAAGAAGACATTGGCATTAATATTTAGTAACATTGGCATTGCTCGCCATACTTAAGCTGCCATAAACGATGTTAGATACGATATTTGTTGAGCATCCAGAAGAAAATGAGATGTAATAAAATTTTATCTGCCACGAAAGTGAAGTGCCATACGATCGGAATTTTTTATTCTGCAACAGATTTCCAGATTGCTTTCTGCCAACAGAATATCAATTGGTGTATGTCAGTGTATTGTCAGTGAACAACCCGAATTGCTGGGATTTAAAAAAAACGTATTATGTGATGATGGTCACTTACCCAATACTACAGTACCATCGAGTCTTTATATTTGCATAACTTATCATGGAAGTTGTTTAGGACGCCACCTTGCGGTTTCAGATGTAACCGCTCTACAAGGCACCGAACGTGCTACATTGCCATACATTCGCATCAGCTCTTGCTCTTTTTTATCGTGAACGATATAGCTTGTCATAATGACAGCCGACAAGTTCGTGTGTTATGTTAACACTTCATACAGTCATTAAGATGACAATCTATATATCGCGCTGTATAATATATATATATGTTATGAATACCCCCATGTGGTGCCATTAGATATACTATTCTTCACGTAAAGAATATAGTATGCGTATCACTTGCGTGTAAAATACCACCGATGTATAAACGTAACTTGTGGTTGTCTTGTTGCAATTCCGTTGTAGATACTTACATGTAGATATGTTGATATGTGTCTAGTAACATCTGCATTATTTTTCAGTTGTTATATATATATATATATATATATATATATATATACTGTAATAAGAAATAAACAGTGAAAGCTACACAAATGGTATTGAAGTCTTATGTATTTGCTACTGAACTGTGAATCCTTTGTTTAGTAAATGCTTAAATCTTGTTTTCCAGATTGTATGATAGACATAGACAAAGTGTTAGCGTAGGATAGATAAACTGATATGTATAGTCATATACATCTACACATAACGTTACATATCCTCAACACTGAATAACAAAGTGAATTGTTGGGCCAGATAGATATAGGACCTAAAGCAATCTGAGGTGGTTACAGAACACAGTTCTAGACTTTTGCTAGCATATGTACAGTACATAGCACACCGGTACCTTTCACATTAAAGAAGCTAATGTAAAGAAGAAACTGAGGTAGATACATCGGAATTGAGTTGAGGCGTTAAGACCCTATGGATTCTTGCAAGCCCCCCCCCCCCCCAAGAGAAGACAATATGCTTTCATTCAAGCCATGTGAATGGGACTTTGTTTTTTCAACAAAAGAGAATGCTGTTCCTTTCAACTTGTCTTGAAGTTGTACACATATCAATTTACAGGACGTTAAAGACCCTGAACCAATGAGGGACAAGTACTGAATAGAAACGCTCAATGCCTAAAAATAGAGCATGTTAGGCGCAGCAGGTTTTTCCCGCAAGCTTTTACTTCCTTGACAGTTTGAAGTTCAGCGTGCTTGCTCTAAGAGTTTCTAAAAAAAACTGAGTTAAAGTAAACGGCCGACTAAACAAGAATGACTGCAGAGAAGCAAAGTCCGTTCCTGTCCGGTGGACCGACCCGCCGGGACCGTCTCCCCGTGTTGGTCGGGCCGCTGGTCGGCGTCCTGGCCGCCCTGGTGTGCGTGATCAGCGTGCTGACAGGGGTGGTGGTGGTGCACAACATGCAGCAGGAGCTGACAGGTGTGAAGCAGGAGCTGACAGGTGTGAAGCAGGAGCTGACAGGTGTGAAGCGGGAGTTATCAGTCCTGCAGACCGAGAACACCGGACTGAGGGAGCGGCTGGTGGCAGTGGAGAACCTGCTGGATGCCGGTACTCTTGCTGGGCACTACCGGCCGCGGACTGTTGACGAATCGGAGGTATATCTATACTTTATTATGTGTTCTTTCAAATCTAACGTTAATATTACATTCCTCTCTTGTCTTTCTCTTCTTTCTCAGCGACATCCCAGCTAAATCTCTTTTCGTAAGTGCCTCTCTTGCACCTAAAGACGAATAGATAAAGAGTAACAGATTATAGTGTGTATATACAAGGCTATAGTTTCCCCCGCCATTAAAACAACAGAATGTTTACAACAGGAAGGTGGGGGTTTGGGTGCGGAGGTCGTCAGTACGAGTCAGGATGACGCGGTGCGAGTTAAGAGACAAGCTATCGGCTCTTCTGGGCTGTTCGACCGTGAGTATTAAATCTAAATCTGCTACAATTGATCACTAAAAATACTATTTATGCATGCAAGTCCACAATGCGTGAATCCAGGAGAAAAAGTAACACAATGACAATGTTTCATTTCAAATCGTGTTCTAGTTCAGCAATATTCCCAGGTGACTTTTTTTTTTACATTCCTCCTGAGTCAGTCTATTCAGTTAGAACAGCGCTAGTTAAACACAGGGGCTGACTGTGCTTGCAGTGAGATTGGTCTGTCCTTCAAAAAAATGAACATGCGTTTTCTCCCAGGCTGTGCTCAAGGTCCCCCTGGGCGAGACGGTCGGGATGGACCAGCCGGACAGCCCGGGACGGACGGACAGCCCGGGCGGGACGGACGGGATGGCGTTCAAGGTGTGGCAGGACCTGTGGGCTTGCAGGTTTGCAGATACCCGTTGTTTATACTAAGGTTTTGTTACCATTATATGTAGACATTGTAGCAACCAGAAACATATGTTCAAACATACATATCACTCAGCATCCTGTTATACTGACATGTTTTTCCATGTATATCCTCACCATGGCAGGGTCCACCCGGGGACAAGGGAGACACAGGACCACCGGGAAGAGACGGGGCGACAGGCGCAGGTAACAACTTTTTCATCTTTGTCAATCAAATATATTCTTCATACTTTCATATTTTGCCTGCTACGCCCGATCCACATATAAACGTATATATAATTTTGATATTAAATGGTTATTGTTACATTGAATTCATGTGTCGCTTCTTTATCATTTTATAATAAATTTTTCAGGAGGAAGTGTGTACATCCGATGGGGGAGGAAGACTTGCGCTGATAACGGCGGAGCAGAGTTGGTGTACTCGGGTAAGATGTCTTTGTTGAATACAAACGGCTTGCGTGGTGCTACCTTTTCTTAGCTGCATCACAGCGCCAGTTCAAATTCCATGAACATAATTGACAGATGGTCTATGTCTGTAGCTATAGTGTGGGAAACATTATACATTGATTTCAGGTGTTGCAGGAGGCACACGTTTCACCGCATTCTTATTAATAGTACATGATGATGTTGATGACTTGCTTGCTTCATCGTTTTCGCTTGACATTTTTGAGTACATCTATTCAGGTGTGGCTGGAGGTGAATGGTACGGCCACACAGGCGGCGGGACCAACTACCAGTGTCTGCCGACCGACCCACAGTGGGGACGGTACCAAGATGGACTCCAAGGGAACAAGGCTTACATGTACAGCGCTGAGTACGAGTTGAACACAAACTACCCGTTCGGCTCCTTCTCCCTTCTCAATAACAACGTCCCGTGTGCGGTCTGCTACGTCCCAACCCGCGGCAGTAAGTTAATGATCCCCGCCCGTAACACCTGTTTTAGCGGCTGGACCCGCGAGTACCATGGTTACCTCATGACTGAATACCACATCCACCAAAGTGCTAAAGAGTTCGTCTGTGTGGATGAACAGCCTGAGGCTGAGGCTGTACCGGGCGGGCGGGAAAACCAGGACGGAGCGCTGTTCTACCCCGTGGAAGCCCGCTGTGGGTCGCTGCCGTGTTCCCTCCCTGGCCAGTACGTTGAAGGGAGGGAACTCACCTGTGTCGTCTGCACAAAGTAGACCATTATTATTGTACGTAACGTGTTGGGTATTTTTGTACAATAAAGGTCTTTATTTCATTAATGAATTCTGTGAATTAGTGTCACTCTTGTCGTTCCTAGAAATGAGGTATTGACATTAATTTATTTGGACTGTCCGTCCTTGCTAGACAAAATACACTTATTGACTGTGACTTTGATAAAATTTTCTCCCTTTTGGGAAAGGATTGGGATTATTTTTGTATAATCACTGCTTTATGATTTTCAGTGATGGGTGGAGAATAATCGAATTTAGCTTACTTGTACTTGGGCTAAACGCGGATAGAGGATACTATGAGAGTTTTTGACATCGATGCAAATAAAAAGTACGCCTTGTATTTACTAAATGAGGAATGTCAAATACCATGTTGCTGTGTTCTGTTGGACATATACTATGTGCTGTAACCATGGGTATGGATGACTATGACTGTGTAGATATATCAGTATTTACTGTTAGAGGTCAACGTCCTGTGCTTGCAGGTATTTCTCTGCCTGTCTTGTTTTGTATCTACTATTTACCGTCACATAGTGAATATCCTGAGTCTAATTCTGAGATTTCAGGAAAACGTGTGATGCTCTAGGTTAACGTTTACCTCAGATTCTGACGTATACCTTTGGATCTTTTGTGAAAGAAAAATGTAAAAGAAATATACACACATTGCCCCATTTATTATTGATTTGTGAGTCTTTGTATTGTTTTTGTTCTGTCTGTAAGCCTTGCTTGGTAGTGTATTTTCCACAGCGCCTTTTTGAACCCGATAGAACGTTGACCTTTAAGACACGCAGGTTGCGCAACAAGTATGTTTGCCTATAGCTAGCATCACCTTCCTTCACAGACAGGGACGAGGTAAACTGTCAATCACATTCTGACCAATGAGAATGTGTGATGGTGATGTCAGCCGTCAGATATTTTTCCCATCGACGTTTTCTTCTAGGAACGTTTGTACAACGGTTGAGTAAAGCCTGTAAACATGCCATATCAACTTACAGGAAGTAAAAACACTGAACCAATGAGAACCAAGCATGATACGTAAGAAGTCCTGAAATAAAACTTGGTTCGTGTTGTTTTTCTCGACATTTTAGTTCCTTGTGAGTCTACAACTGCGAGCATTCAGAACTCAGAGCGACTTGGTAACCGTTCAACAGTCGTGGATAAAGTGTTGATAGCCTAAAAGTGGGGAAAACATGACTCCCGAGAAGCAGAGTCCGTTCCTGTCCGGTGGACCGACCCGCCGGGACCGTCTCCCCGTGTTGGTCGGGCCGCTGGTCGGCGTCCTGGCCGCCCTGGTGTGCGGGATCAGCGTGCTGACGGGGGTGGTGGTGGTGCACAACATGCAGCAGGAGCTGACAGGTGTGAAGCGGGAGCTGACCGCTGCTAGAGAACGTCTGGCTGTTCTAGAGAGCCTCCATGGCTTTACCGGCGGGGAGGTGGCCGACGATCTGTCTCAGGCGAGTACGCCTAACCTTTCAACATTATCCCTAATCTCCAAGCAGATTTTTCGGTGGCAAGACAGTATCCATTGGCCAGAGGAGTGTCCATTAACTTCGGTGGCTAATGGACACTCCTCTGGCCAATGGATACTGTCTTGCCACCGAAAGATCTGCTTGGAGATTACATTATCCCCCGTACCAGATATCGTCATTTGTAAAATTTACTCTGTGCTCATTGTTGGATCGCCATCCTCGTCACTCTAACGGCGATGGTATGAGCTGGTTCAAAACAGTCGCCGAGGTGACGGCGATCATGGCGCTCTCAGCACGCTCCCATGGCGATCCTGGCGATCTTTCTGCGCTCTCTTCGCGCTCAGGCCAATTTCAGGGCGCAGAGAAAGCGTCATGAAAGCCGTCCTATTTGAATGGGGGCGTAATACACTCAACCGTGACTGTTGTTGTACTAGTCTAGCCCCATTCAATTGTATGTAACTTAATGTCCGCTCTTTGCATTGTGTACTCGTAACACGCGTGCTTTTTATTTGTCCCTAGTCTAACACTTAACTATATTGATTGGCAATTTAACGAGCAGTCAGTACATTGCTGTCGTTTGCCGTTTTAAACAGAATGATGGCTTAATGATGCCAGACGACGGAGACCATGGTTCCGTGCGAGTGAAGAGAGACGGGCCGGTGTTGGGTGGACGTGAGTGTCGGGATATCTTGCTCGTACTAGTACATCTGTACAAATACTCTGCTCGTGTGTATGACTGGTAAATACACTTTAAAATAATAGAACATAACAACTGGCCGTAGTGAAAATGGTGATGGAAATTCAAGTTCATTTTCATGTTTATCAAGATATTCTCGGCCTAATCAAAAGATCTCAAATAAAATTCTCAATGATACGGTCTCAACTCACAACTTTTGTTGTACATCGCAGTTTGCCAGCAGGGACCGCCTGGCCCCGCGGGAAGGGACGGGGTAGCCGGGCGGGACGGAAGGGACGGAGTCCCAGGCTCGGCAGGGCCAACCGGACCGGTCGGCTTACAGGTACGAAACTTATCCTGGTTTCAATTTAACGTTAGATGTACACCATATCAATAATAGCAAAAAAAGTATTTATGTGTGTAAAATACTGACAAGATTGTACTTATTGATCACCTTGGCAGGGTCCACCCGGGGACAAGGGAGACACAGGACTGCCGGGAAGAGACGGGGAGCCAGGCGCAGGTAGCAACTTTTTCATCTTTGTCAATAAAATATATACGTAGTACTTTAATACTTTAACATTTTAATCAACCAATCTGCCTGGTTACAATCCACGTTCATGTAGATATAGTATTTGATTTTTCCTGTAATGTACGTCTTCTTTTTGATATACTTTCTTCAGGAGGAAGTGTGTACATCCGATGGGGGAGGAAGACTTGTGCTAATAACACCGAAGCAGAGTTGGTGTACTCAGGTAAGATGTCTTTGTTGAAGACAGACAGCTTGTGTGGTGGTACATTTTCGTGGCTTTCTTTGACAATTTGATAAAGGTTTTGAATATGTCTGCGGACTCTTAAGACTGGGAAACCTTGTATGATTTCAGGTGTTGCGGGAGGCACACATTACACTCAGTCAGGCGGCGGGACCAACTACCAGTGTCTGCCGACCGACCCACAGTGGGGACGGTACCAAGATGGAGTCCAGGGGTGGAAGGCTTACATGTACGGCGCTGAGTACGACTTGAACACAAACGCTCCGTTTGACTCCTCATTCGACAACCATGACGTCCCGTGTGCGGTCTGCTACGTCCCAACCCGCGGCAGTAAGTTAATGATCCCCGCCCGTAACACCTGTTATAGCGGCTGGACCCGCGAGTACCATGGCTACCTCATGGCTGGTTACTACGGCCACCACGGGTCTAAAGAGTACGTCTGTGTGGATGAACAACTTGAGACCCTACCGGGCGGACACGCAACCCGCCACGAGGCGCTGTTCTACCCCGTGGAAGCCCGCTGTGGGTCCCTGCCGTGTCCCAACTACGTTGAAGGGAGGGAACTCACCTGTGTCGTCTGCACCAAGTAGACCATCAATGACACATCCATTCTGCTATCACTTTTCTACTTTTAAGGTTTGGCTACAAGCACACAAGCGTGTGTAATTTAATTTTCATTGTATTGTAACCGCAATGTAATATTCTTTGAAGTTGTGCAGATATCAGACGGCTCAGAACTGCTTTGCGATTTCTTATGGTTTGACTACACTTACCTAATAAGCTACTTAAAGTAGAATGATCGAAGTTTCAATCCTGCATATCATAATAGTTTGTTGCTTTTCCAGATTTGATATGGCTTCAAGTTGACTACTTGTAAAAGTCACCCCTCTCCTTTAGATGTTGCATTGGCATCTAGTTGTATGTTGTGACGTACGTATTCAGTTCCAGTGGTTGACGACATAGCCAACTTCAACTGTGTATTGTTTTGGTTTTCTCAATAAACAATTACCAGGTGTGGGAATTATGATTGAACGTTTCTCATTGTCTACATGTAGTATCTAAGGCATGTATTCGTAAATTTTGAAAGGTTACCATTTTTTGGGTGTTTGCATCCGTATCTTTATAGCCGACATAACCGCCCTTCGGCGTAACACACTAGCTGTGTGTGTGTTTGTGTGTGTGTATGTATGTGTGGTGTGTGTGTGTGTTTGTGTTTGTGTGTGTGTGTGTGGTGTGTCACAGTGTGTGTGTTTGTGTGAGTGTTTGTGTGTGTGTGTGTATGTGTGTGTGTGTGAAAGAGAAGAGAAAGATGTATTGTATTCTGGAGTGGAACTGAGTTGTGGCGTTAAGACCACATGGATTCCTACCCCCCCCCCACCACACACACACGAGCACTGAACTTTACCTTAAGAGAAGACGATATGCTGCCAATCAAGCCATGTCAATGAGACTTTGTTTTTTCAACAAATGAGAACGCTGTTCCTTTCAACTTGTTTTGAGGTTGTAAACATATCAATATACAGGACGTTAAAGACCCTGAACCAATGAGGGACAAGTACTGAATAGAAACGCTCAATGACTAAAAATAGAGCATGTTACGTGCAGGTTTTTCCCGCAAGCTTTTACTTCCTTGACAGTTTGAAATTCAAGGTGTTTGCTTTATGAGTTTAAAAAACTGAGTTAAAGTAAACGGCCGACTAAACAAGAATGACTGCAGAGAAGAGTCCGTTCCTGTCCGGTGGACCGACCCGCCGGGACCGTCTCCCCGTGTTGGTCGGGCCGCTGGTCGGCGTCCTGGCCGCCCTGGTGTGCGGGATCAGCGTACTGACGGGGGTGGTGGTGGTGCACAACATGCAGCAGGAGCTGACAGGTGTGAAGCGGGAGTTATCAGTCCTGCAGACCGAGAACACCGGACTGAGGGAGCGGCTGGTGGCGGTGGAGAACCTGCTGGATGCCGGTACCCTTGCTGGGCACGACCGACCGCGGACTGTCGACGAATCGGCGGTGTGTTTCTATACTTATATGTTTCAGCCTGGGAAATCTTGTATGTTTTTTTCTTTCAAATCTAACGTTAATTTCACGTTAAATTATTACCTGCATCTCTTGTCTTTCTCTCCTTTCCCAGCGACATCC